CCAGGGCCGGGGTGCCACCCTGCCACAGTCCCTGTCGTGCAAGGAGCCCAAGCCCCCCCCGCCCCCAATGGGCATTCAGGATGGGGTTGGAAGAAATCCCTTGTCCCTGGGCTCCACGTGGCCCTGTCCCCCATCCGTCCTCCCGTGCTCCCCCCGGACCAGCACATGCCACCGGCCCACCCAGGGCCATTGCCCAGCCCGGTGCTTGCCCGCAGCCCCCGTCCCCACCTTTGATTTAGCTACTGACCACGAGCGAAACCTGCCCTGATGCCACCTAACGCCGGAGCAACAACCCAGCAGCGCTTCTCGTACCCCGTAAGCCCTTTGGGATGAGCACACGGCGTGCCACTCGGGTGCCATCCCCCATGTCCCCTCTGTCCCCCTTGTCCCCTGGCTCAGGTGCTGAGCATGCTTTGCAGCTACTGGCTCCAGGAAGGCCATTCCTGGGGCAGGAGATGTTATAAGAGGAGACTCGGGTGCTGCCCGGGTTTGGTATCTGGGGTGGGATGCTGGGGGGCTCGGTCCCCTGCGAGCAGCCGCCGGCTGGAGCTTTTCAGCCCACGTCGCTACTGAATTAATGCACTAACGCCCGCGGCAGCTTGAGATGAGAAATAAAGCTAACGCAAGCGCTGTGCTTCCACAGTCGTGCCTGCAATCCACCTCTCTGCAGCCAGTGCCGTGGGTTATTTGGGATTAGCCGGGGTGGCGAGGCCCTTCAGGAGCCCAAACCAGGCTCAAACTCGACGGGGGATGCAAGCTCAGTGCTGTACCCCAAGGCATGGCCAACGCTTCATGGGCCAACACCCATAAGGGATTGCAACACAGGGGAGGTGGGTGCAGGAATAACCCCCCTGGAGCTGGCAGCCAGGCAGCGGGGTGGCAGAGATCCCCTTCCCGGGAGGGAGGGAGGGGAAGCAGGGATCTGCTCAAAGGTCTTCAGCCCCAAACCCAGCTCCTTCCCCGCACGAACCCAGGCTGCGGCTCCTGGGAAGCTCCTGGGATCGGCTGCAGCTGTCAGGACTGACGGTGGATTTGAGATCCCGCACATCATCTATGTGGTTCAAGTGCCTGAACGTCGCTGGGACCCTCAGTGCTGCCCGCCTGGACACTGGGATTTCTCTTGGGAAAGCTGAAATCCCCAAGCCACGTCCTTGAGAAAAGGAGCGGAGATGAGCCCCATGGGGAAGTCCTGCTCCACACCAGGGAGCAAGCAAGTGGCCAGCTAAACCCTGTAGAGATGCCATCCTCTTTGGAGGACATGCATAATCATTTTGTCAGGCATAAATATTGACTCACAAGTCTGTGCTGAGTCGGGCGAGTTAAAAAAACCAACCAAACCCCAGAGAAATTTCTGAAGAAAATCACCAGATTAATTTGCAAAGTTCTTTTTTTTTCCTTCAAAAATGAAAAACGTTTAAACTGGAATTTTAAAAAATGGGTTTGCTCCAGCTAAGGAGCTCAAAGGAACATTGAACGTTTTGAAACATCGGCACTCAAAGTTCTCAGCAATGAAAAGAAGTACAAAAAAAAAAAAGAAGGATAAGAAAAGCAAGAATTAATTGGATTAAAATAGTTTGGTGGATCTTTTCAGCAGCCTCTTAGGAAAACAGCTCTAATAAATCACTGATGCGGGTCGAGAACTCTGTAGAGCTTGGCCAGAAGATCTTGCAACAACTCCAAGTATTCTTTTGAAAAGGACTATATTGAGCTTAAAACGCCACCGCAAGCCAGCAGCAGAGCCAGGAACAAATCGTGGCGGTGTGAAATGCCCGCCTGTCCCTACTGAGCCGTACCAATCTGCAGCACGGGGTTTTCCACATCGGTCCTCACTGTCACACTCTTGACCCGAAAGGGAGGATGAGCAGGTGCTGGCAGCATTTTGATTTCTAATGGCCAGAACGTTGGAAATTTCCAGCGGGAGGATGGTCCAAGGTGTAAGAGTGAGCTGTCGGGGCTGTGGTGGAGATGCTATGTCCTGGCAGGGCACCTGAATACCCGCCGGCAGCAGCGGCACACGTGGATGACGATGAAGATGATGCTGATGAGGACATAGCTCATGCCGATGGCCTTGGCGGCATAGATCGTCTCAGGATCGTTGAACGTCCGCCTGCGCCGGTGCTGGTATATCACGCTGAGACGGAAGCCGGCCACCATCTTGCCCTCCCGCCAGCAGAAGTAGGTGCCTCCATCGCTGACCTGGACCCACTGGATGTGCAGGTGGTTTCCGTGGTCAATGAAGACCCGCATGCTCTTGTTGACACCTACAAGGTAGCGAGAGCGGTAGAGCCGGACGGAGTCCTTGTCCCAGGCCACGGCATGCTCAGGCCGGGCTCCTGGGCACGCGATGATCAGACCACTTCCAACAGGCTGCTTGTGAAACTGCGTGGGGACACGGGGCAGCCAGGGCTTCTCGCCCAGCTTGGAAATGACGTTGGAGATGGCCTGCACACCTTCCTCAGGGACCTCCTCCTTTGGGCAAGGGGTCAGGCAGCTTCGGATGGCCACCTCGGGTCTTCGGAGGCGGCCGGGATGCTGGAAATGCGCCGGGACAGCCCTTGAGCCGCAGGACGTGACGTTGGGCATGGCGGCACGATAGCGAGGGTGCAGCTGGGCACTCTGCACGTAGCAGAGCCCGATCCGCCGCACCTCGCCTCTCACCCCGCAGCGGTCGCATCTGGTCCAGTCCCAGAAAGCGGTGAAGAGGCTGAAGAGCTTCTCTGTGTAGTCATCCTGGACATGCTGGCCTCTGTCCACAAAAGCCACCGTGATGTGCTTGGTGGGCTGCACGTCCACGTCATAGCCATAAAAGAATTCTCCTTTCTTAGTGCCACACAGGTAGTGTCCCGAGTCCGTCACCTGGGCTCGGAAGACGATGAGACTGAACATCCGGATACTGAAACGCTTCAGCACGTCACTGCCCGCGTGGATATGGCCCGAGTCGACAACCACAGTGCCGGCAAAGTCCGTCAGGACTGTGGTTTTGCGGCTGCCCACATTCTTCTGGAAGTACCAGATGACAGAAGAGACCTCTTTGGGCTTGCAATTGCAGGGGAGCTCAAAGGTCATGTCAGCCAAGTAAGCGGCGTTGTCGAACATCAAGAAAGCGGGACAAGCCATCCGCTGAAACACATCTCCCTTCTCTTCAATTGCAAAAGCGTGGAGAACATCTACCAGGCAGAGGAGAACAGCAGCTCCTGGCAGCCTCATCACCATCGCGCTGGGCGGTCTCTGCAGTCAGCAGAATCAACCCAGCCACCTCAGCGGGGCCGGCAGGAACCCGCGCGTGGGGTTAGGAGTGCCAGCATGGGGCAGGGATGGTGCACACCAGATCGCTCGCCAAAGATGGGGTTTGCAAACGACCCCCCGCCTGCAGTGCACATGGCTGACAGCAGGGATCAAACAGTGGCTGAAATATCACATCTCAGCCAAGTATCTGCTGGGAAGCACTCCATCCCGCCCCGGGGCAGGCTGTCCCCTGGGACACGGACTCTAGAACCTCTCCTCTCTCCCAGCCACTCTAGAGTGTTGCCCGTGCCCTGGACAACGCATGGGCAGGTCGTTCATGCAGTACAGCCGCAGAGGGAAGATGCAGCGATGGGAATCGTGGTGGGAACAAGGGAACTGCCAACGTCTTCTTGAAAGACTCATGTGCAGTAAATGTTAAGGATTGCTCTGATCCCTCTGAGAGCAACGAACCCAGAGAATACCCTCCTCCGACGGCAGCTGACCTCCGTAGTCCAGAACAAGAGGTTTCAAACATGGTATTTAGACTTCTACATCCTCCCTGTTGGCTTTCCAAGGATTTGTGTGCTG